CGCGCCCCAGTCGAGGCGCGCCTCGGCTCGGCTGTAGTTTTTCTGTTAAACACTTGGTGTCCTCCATTTCCTCTCTGCCTTTTCTCAGCTCTTTTCCTCTACATTTGAGTGTGTGTGTGTGTGTGTGTGTGTGTGTGTGTGTGTGTGTGTGTGTGTGTGTGTGTGTGTGTGTGTGTGTGTGTGTGTGTGTGTGTGTGAGTGAACCTATGGTATGAGTCGTTTCTGCCAGTTGAATCTCTTGGAACCCGCTCCAATTCTGCAGCTGTATCCTAGCAGTTTCTTCCGACATGGGTACGTAAATAATCGTGTGTTTCGGGGGTCGTACAGCTCCTTGTGTTCCTCAACTTCCATAATTCATTTAAAGTCATCCATCTTAACTGCTTGCCTCAGACTTTCTGCCTCTCTGTCCTGTTTGCTCCGGTGAAAAGACACCCAAAACCACACCCCCCTTCACGTGTGTGTGTGTTCGTGTGGTTTTTCTGCAGTGTCTGATTACGAACACATTTGACTATTGCGGAATTTTATTTTGAAATGCTTTATTTTGTTAACTTTACCGGCCTGCCTCTTATGTCTAGGTTTGACTTCCTGCCACAATTGAAGCGATTCACCCGCGGCTCGCGAAAAAAATAGAGCCGACGCCGAAATGATCGCTGCACGGCGCGGGCTGGAGCGCCGGCGCGAGGCGATTCGCGGCGCTTCGGCGGCCCATGTGGTCTATAGAATAACTTAACAAGGGCGCCGAATGAAGGCGGTCCCATTTTCGCGGCGCTTCCGCGGCCGGTGTGTCCCCGGCGTGAAGCGGACGTCTCTGCAGCTCTTTCCCCCGATCTACATGGCTTACATGTCTTTAAAATAACAAGCAGAAGTGCTAAAAGCCGTTCTTGAAAAAAAAAAAAAGATGTTTGCGCTGTCGCCAGACGCCCTTTTTTACCACAGCTAAAAATCTAGAGCGTCCTGTGGTACAGTCTGGATTTCCGTCTTTTTTCTGATTGGTTATTTTTGAGCTGCCTAGTCCCGCCCCTCATGTGACGCTCTGCCTGTGAGTCACCAGACTCTCTGTGTGCAGAATTACACAGAGGAAGGACGAGTCTGGCGGGCCAGGCTGGATAGAAGCTACTTGAGAAAAAAAAAAAATATATATATATATTCCCTCAACATTCCAACAATTTTCTCTTACAACTTGGACTTTTTAAAGAAAACTTGAATCTTGAATCAAAATCCCGACATTAACTCTTTAACGGCTCATTAGTTCCTTTATCTGAACGCACTGAACTTAACAGAAATATAATAATAATAAGCTGAAAAAATCTGCTAAATGTGGGGATGATTGATTAAAATAACTTAAGTTATTTCTATTATGACCTCAACAGTGTTAAAAACCAATAATTCTATTATATCATCATTTTTATTATTTCATAGCCCTCACAATAAGCCAACTCCTGCCAGAACAACCCTGCGGGCTTTTTCTCACGACGGATGCGTTTTGAGTCCTGTGTCGGTACGAGTGCGGTCCCGTACGTTGTGTAAATTCCTCAGAAGGAAAATTCCTGAAAGTTGAGACTTGCAGCCTGAGGTTTCTGTTCCAGATCCCAGCAGGTGGGCTGCAGTGCAGAGTACACAGTTTCCAGCTATGAAAGCAGACAGCGGTGCACCTAAAGCAGCTGCTGACGCGAATAATCACAGCTTGGCTGTTCTTACTACAAACAGAAGGACCGAGTCAGAATAATCCAACAAAATTTGATTATTTTTTCTTTTACATTCCTTTTTTTAATGGTATTAATTTGGTAAGGGACAGTTTTGTGGAGGAGAATGGCATGAGACGACCATGAAGGAGTGTGTGTTTGTCTAAATCACCCCAAAGTATTCAGAGAGCCATCAAGGACTGTCAAAATAAAGCTCATCATCAAAAATAAAGCTGATTCCTGAAAATAGCTACAAATAAAAGATCACCTTTCTTTCTCTTTGTTTTATTGCTGAAGTCAAGCGTTAGGATCGCTAACTCGCTCATATTCCCTCTACTCTCATTTACCTCTGAATAATTCAACAGAAGCCAAAATGCGTTTTCAGTAACATGAAATATTTTAAATGTTCTTATTAATCATCCATAGGCTGAGTCCTGGTTCACGACTTATGCTAATAGGATGCTTTCCCTAAAGAGGAGGTTCACTGAGAAACTATTTCATTAACCCTAATCGGTCACACAGAGTTCTTCATGCAGGCTGAACATGAGAATAGTCTCCTACACCTGTCTCCTGCAGCAGCTTCTGATAGAAAACAGACGGTGAAACTCTAGGATTAGAAAATCCTGACAGATCTACGTCACACTAGCCCTTTTTATAAGACACACCATGCCGGCAAATATTACCGCAACGGTATGTCTATAAACGCGCCGTGCCGGCATGGCGTTGCGCGAATTTTACGGCATTCGTTCCGTCTCGCTTGGTTGTAATATTGCGGTAATGGTCCGTCGTATGCGCCCTAGCGCAACAGAGCCAGATGTCATGATGACGTGGGGAGTTACTGCAGCGCTCCATGTGCCTCTGTTAGAGCTGACGCTCAGATCACCAGAGACTGCACAGGGACTGATGGGGACGGACGCCTTTAGGAGTAATTCCATTTTTGGTTCTTTTTAAACACAAATAAGGTTTCTCTTTACCTTGCTGATGGTTTTGTTTGCGGCTGCAAACCGTTGGCATTAGCAACTCCACCACACTGCGGAACTCCTCCAGGCTTGTGTTATTTGTAGAGATAAAGCATCAACGTTGCAGAGCAAACAGAGTCTGTGTTAGAGTCACGTTGTTTTTAGCCAATCAGAGGCAAGAAGTCCAAAAATCAGGAAATAAGACTCCAAATCATGTCGTCTGAAGCTTCTTTCTCCTCCAGCTGCCTTCAACTTCCTCAAACTGCTGCAATGTAGGGATGAGCCGGGTACTCGTTTCAGACGTGTATCCGTTACGGATAAAGCATTTTTGACGAGTACGAGCATGAAACGAGTAAAACTCGTACATATCTGTAATCGTGCTGAAGGAAAATCCTCATTGGGTAACTGACTGTCTTCACGCTCTGTGATTGGCCAGTCACATGGAGCGCCCGCCCCTCCCAACACACAAAACTCTGCACCGGGAGCTCAGTCCGTGTCCGGTCCATCTAAGCACACACACACACACACACACACACACACACACACACACACACACACACACACACACACACACACACACACACACACACACACACACACACAGTAACGGACCTCTCTGTGCTTGCTTCACTGTTGCTCACGTTTCTTCAGTGCTCCCTAGGGTTTCTTCAGTTCGCCTCTTTTTAAAGTCAATTATTTCGTAACGTACGTACGTGGTGCATTTGACAAGACACAGCTGAAAACGGCTCGTGCTGCGTGCGTCAGTCACCATCTCCGCTCCGGTCGGGGTTTTTCCTCTCTCTCTCTCCTCTTCCTCAGGATCCACTCCCTCTTTCCTGTTCACTCTCTCCCTTTCTTTACATTTTTTAATCACAATTGTCTATTTTTTGCTCATTTTAAATATATTTTAATCATTTTCTAAATTATTTTTTCTATTTTACATGTTTTGTTTTTGTGAAGCACCTCGTGATTCTCATCTTGAGGTGCTATAGAAAAGATCTCTCCCTCCCTCCCTCCCTCCCTCCCTCCCTCTCTCTCTCTCTCTCTCTCTCTCTCTCTCAATTCATGCTCTTAAATATTAATGTTCAGATTTTACTGAAAAACTTGTTCTGTAATAGTTTCTTTACTATTGTGATCAAACATATTTAATCTCAATTCTGAGGCTGCTCTGTAAATAGTTTTCAAATAAACAATACACATAGCAACTTCTGATCAGACTTAAAATAACGTATTGATGTAAACCACACCCACTTCCAGGTTAGGCCACGCCCACTCCGAGTACAGATACGGATACAGATAGTGGTGTACTCGCTCATCCCTACTGCAATGGAGCTTAATTTCCTCAGAGTATGACGTACAAAGCCTTAATTAAGGCTTGGACACTTTAAGCCTTAAAGTGGACTCAGTGGTCTCCTTTAAAAGGCAGCTGAAAACACTTGTTCAGGCTGGCTTTTGTGTGAACTTCATCACCCTCTCCTTGTTCTGTTCTCCCCACCCATTCCACCATCCTCAGGATCCACTGGTTTACCTCTTTCCTATTCGCTCTCTCTCTTTCTTTACATTTTTAATCACAATTGTCTATTTTTTGCTAATTTTATATATATTTTTTAATAATTTTCTAAATTCTTTTTTTTACTTTTACATTTTTTGTTTTTGTGAAGCGCCTCGGGATTTTTATGTTGAGAGGTGCTATAGAAAAGATACTTTCTTCTTCTTCTTCTTAATTTCTACTAGAGACCTCTGCAAATGTAACAAACGGTAGTGAGTAGAGTTCATCTTTAAAAGAAACTGATTATAACTTTTTTACTTGAGTTATTTACATTTGGAGTGTCTCTAGTAAATAGAACATTTTTATGATTTTTTTGCACTAAATACTTCTCACATAAAACAATCCCAGCAGTTTTATTCATGACAGTTTCAGTACCTTCCAGAATGAGCCGTTTCTGGTCTCTGTCACTTTAAGAAAACAATCTGCTGTTGGTGGCCACATCCACCAATCCCCTGATTGGCTGTTATGAGGTGAGGAGCTCAGATGCCTGGGAAGGGCTCAAAGTAGAGCTGCTGCTCCTCCAGCATTGACAGGTTAAGTGGGGGGTTTATGCTAATTTTCCTTTTGTGACATCACAATAAAGGACATTTTCAAAAGGCTCATTGAAGCACATAATTCCCAAAATTTAAACCTGACATAAAACAGATGTGCAGTTTTTATTAACATTTGGAGTGTTTAGAAGCAGCAGAAATCCACATGGCAGCAAAACATGAAGTATTTGTTTTGGCTAATAAGTCTCCTATAAAATTGGAAATAAAAGACAATAAAGGTATTTGGAACATGTGAGTGAAAGAACGTCAAATTCTTTACCAGTTTTTCGTAGTGGGAAGTCGTCTTTAGAGTCATATGCACCCAGAACTGGATGGTTGTATGCTGATAGTGCCGTCTGAGGGGGTGAGCTCTGGTCTAAAGAGCTGTGCTGCGTTTTCCTGCAAAATAAAATAAAAAATAGAATAAACTTTGAGTTGTGGAGAGTAAAATGCACAAAACATATACACTCCTACAACTACTGGACCTTGCCTTCCCACATACACTCATGCAAACACACACACCCACACCCAAGTAAAAAGGAATACATAGACATCTCCCATTTCTCTATTCAAGGCCAAGAATTTCAAAGACAGTAAAGTGTGAGCATCTAGGTGGGTGGAAAGGAACACAACAAAGACATCTGAACTTTAAGGCTCAGCTTGGTTGAATGAGATAAAATACAAGATGGCAGAAAAGGAGAGAGGACAAAACACAGAAGAAATGAGTAAAGAAAGCAGTAAGAGTGGCTGGTTTCTCATGCATGTGCAGAACTCTAAACTCTAAATATTTCAACAAAAATAATCCAAGGTCTCTTTTTCCTCTCGATGACCACTTCAAACACACGTCAGTCACCGCCAACAAACCCACTCAGAAGCCTTGATGTTGCATCTTTCTCTCTGTAGTTCAGTCTCAGAGATCCTAATGCTGATGTCGGCTATTGGACGAGCTCACGAAAGCACACCAGCGACGGGCGCCCACACAACGGGGGGAAGCCATAAAAAGGAGACTTTAAATGTTTGTCATCCGCAGCTTTTACGTTTGACATTTAGTAATGTGATTTTTTCCTGCTTGTTTTAAACGAGAATGACTCAGAGAGAAAAAAACAACAGCTGATTTCAGATCGCTCTGAAGTTCGACCAAAAAATATTTTATTTCAATTTAAAGAGCAAGTCACCCCCAAATCAACTTTTTATTTCTGATTAACTATATAAATGCATGTCTAATCATGCTGCAGACACGTGTAGTCAGTGGTTTTAAAATTAGAATCTTCTGCCTAAAACTGTCTCTGTTGTGAATTTAAATCTGCCATCGCTATTGGCTAAGAGGTACCCTAGAACGTTAGCTGGTACCATATGATGTCACAATGTCATTGTGAGCCTGTGTGTGTGTGTATTTGTTAGCGGCTCCGCCCTCTCGGTCTGCTAGGCAACAGCATTTGTTACATTTTTCAAAGTGGGACTGGAGTAATACTCTGGCAGGGGGTGACTTGCTCTTTAAGTACAGCAAAAATGATTCTGCCTGCATCCATATCAGCTGTGCAGCCATTGGATGGATTTTCATGGCTGTGTAACTACACCTACTGACCTGCTGACCAGTATAAATAAACAGCGGTGTTGAAACTTAGTCAATCTTACAAAGAGATGAGCTAAAACTGGAGGTGTGGTTAGCTGAAAGTCACTAACTGTGGGTGCTGACAGAATCATTTAATTTAACTTTGGGATTTGACTAAATTGTGCTTTTATTTTGATGGTTAAAAAACAGCTAAATAACAGTAAAGCAACATTTAAAGAGATTAACTGATTCTTCTTTTCTCTATATTTGTAGATTGCTCTTGTAGAATAGAAGAAGAAAATGAGCTCCTACACTTAAAGTAACACATTTTCACTGCAAGGTGCCGTCCAGAGCTAAACCAGAATCCAAATGGTAGAATAGGCATTAATTATCTAACCACAACTGATTGTGTAGTGGTGGCTGGTGACACTCACCCATACCAGTAGCGGGGCGTGCTAAGCAGGCAGTGGTTTAGGTTTCGCTGAGCCAGGGCTTTCTTCTTGTTCAGGACAAACTCCTGCAGTCGCATCTTTACCTCAGTGCTGGCCACGGCGCCTGGACAGCAACACCGACAGCAGAAGATAAAGTAAGGAAGGAAAAACTGTCTTTTCCTCCGCGACTGAACAAAAATAGGTAATACAGTATGGCAGACGTTAAAGCCGCTCTGGCTTGCTTTTAGCACCCTTGAGAGTCTGTTACTGATTCACTGTTGTAAAACTCTTCTCCTAGCTGTGCTTTCGTTATCATAACACCTTTATCTAACTACTGACAGGTCTCCTCAGCCCTCATTAGTTTCTACAGGAGCGGTTCATCATTAAATCAAACAAATCAGCTGTGTTTACGATCTCCAATAAATGTGCTGGAAGCAGACGGCAGTGCCAGCACGGACTGGACCGGCACTCAGAAGTTGCAAGTGCAATATTCTAGCCACAGAGGGCGATGGGGTCTGAGTGACATTTCATTAACCCGGTAACTAGATTCAACTAAATCTGCCACTAGAGCTACATAAATAACCCCAACCCGAGCTACATTCAGTTGAGGAAACGTGTGAAAGGAGGATGGTGGCGAAGATGACCTCCATCTTGGTAAACCCCTCCCACCCACTGCGGGGACCACGGACAGCTCCTTCAGAGGGGGACTGAGACATCCCAGATGTAAAACAGGACACCGTAGCTCGTTCATCCCCTCTGCAGTTTAACTGCTACTGGCATTATCCTGGTACACAATAAGATCAATGCAATCACTATTTTAAACATATTTTTAATCTTTTAAAAATACATCTTTTTAATATTTTAAATGTTTTGTTTTCGTGAAGCGCCTTGGGGTTTTTCTCGTGAGAGGCGTTACATAAAAGATTGTTTTCTTTCTTTCAATGCAATACTCAGTATGTTCAACACTTGTGCAATACCCAATGTACTAGTATGTATGTGTCCCTGATTATGCATAGTACTGGAAACACACGTTTTCTGTATATTCTTTGTTTTTGGTGGTTGAAGGTTACACTAATAGCTTACTGCCTGTGTGTGTTTACTTGTAATCTTTTTTCTAAGTGCTGGTGCTGCTGCAGCAAATGAATTTCCTCACTGTGGGATCAATAAAGTCTATTCTACTCTATTCTATTCTAAAGGGTCATTTTAGCACATACTGGCTCAAGAAAACAAATTAAAACCGAAAAAGAAGCATCGTATACCTTTGCAGTGCCAAACAGTAGAAATCTGTTAAATCTAACCAAAATTACATGCATGTACCGTATTTTCTGGACTATAAGCCGCTACTTTTCCCCACGCTTTGAACCCTGCGGCTTATAATGACGTGCAGCTTTATGGGCTCGACACACGGGAGGCGACAAACGATCGCGATCAGCGAAATTTGTCGCTGTCGCTTTTATTACCTGACACACGGGAGGCGACCCGCGGCAGCGGCAAAGCCGTCTACGCGTTCTGTTCCATTGCGAAATCGAATCTTCTGTTGTTTTGTTTGGCTGTGTCAGGTTGGAGGGAATTAAGGTTATTTAAGCGGTTCGAAGTTAATAAAGCGGTAGATATGATGTTTCACAAGGTGCTGCTAGAGTTATGTGAAATCTTACTTCTGATTTTACTATAAAACATAATAATAATCAACTTCTCCTCCATGTTTGCTCGGAGATGTACGGAGCATCCTGTCCGCTCATTGGTCAGTGAATGAAACCTCCGTTGATTGGTCCTCGTCCGAGCGACAGCGATGAAAAGTTGAAAATGTTTCAACTTTCTGGGATTGCGTCGCTGGGTCGCACGTGCACGAGCGCAAAATTTCACACGCACGTTTTTCGCTTTTCGCTTGGTAGGAGGGAGACCCGCGATCATCGCTTTGTCGCGCATGTCTCATTGAAAATGAATGGAGGAGAGGCGATGTCGCCTCCCGTGTGTCGAGCCCATTACTTACGATGTTCCTTCACCTGCCACCAGGGGGCGCTTTAGCATAAAGTGAAACAGGTGGAAGTCAAAAGTGGAAATGGAAGAAAGTGCTCATTTTAATTTAGCACATGCAAGCAGCCGGCACCACGAAGACTTTGTTTCAAATCCATACCCCCTCATCGTGGTAACTACACGTATGAGTTCATATGATGCTGCATTTAAGTAGAAGGCCATCGATCTGGCAGTAAAGGAGGGAAACAGCGCTGCCGCACGTAAGCTTGGCATGAATGAATCCATGGTTCGGCGCTGGAGACGGCAGCGGGAAGAACTCATCCAAGCCAGCTTCACCCGGGGATGATGACAGCAACACGGACAGCGACACTGACATCGCCACAGAAAAGGTATGTGACGAAGCTCTTCTGAGGCTGTTCAACTCCGACACTGAAGAAGAGGACTTTAATGGCTTTAGGGCGCAGGAGGAAGATGAGAGCGAATGACTTCTTCTGGTAGGCAAGTGTGTTTCATTTACTAACCAGGCATGTTTTGTGTGCAGTTGTTATTTTCTAATCATCCAGGGCTTATTAATGCTGAGTCAGCGCTGTTCTTTTCTTCTAAACATGCAGATTACCGGTAATAACGTGTCAGTGCTGTTTTTATTTTATAACATCCAGAAATATGAATGCTATCAGCGCTGTTTTCTTTTCTACACTTGCAGGCACGTTCACCCGTGTTTAACATTTGTTTTGTTGAATTAAAACAACGATGAAAAACCTCCGTGTAGCGTCTCTCTGTCTGTCTATCTTATGTTGTGGCCGTACGTGCGCTGTGCGCCGGAGACCTGCATGTGGCTGCTGCGCCGCGGCTTGTCTTCGAGTGTGTGGCGTGTGTGTGGAAAACCTTCTTTTTTTGTTGGTGCGGCTTATATTGAGGTACGCTCTATAGTCCGGAAATTACGGTAATATGCATCAACTTCAAACACTCAGTAGAATATGTGGGTTTTTCATCCCATCATTGCAATATTACAAAATAATGGCAGATTTGCACGTTTTCCTACATGCCTCTTGAGTCGGTTACGAAGATTAAAACATAATTTTGACTCTACAGGAATATGAACGCTGAGCAGAAGCAAGACGCTGGTGTGTTTGTGTTTTTTCTCTCCAGTTCCATCAGCTGGAGGCTCGCCATCTCACATCTAGAGAACGATCGCCCTACAAGGAGAAGATTGTGTCTGGAAAAAGCCACTGAATCACACCTACGGTCCAATCTGTGGCACTAACGTGAAGCTTATAACAACATCCATCTGTACTTTGACAAACAATAAGAACCCAAACCACTATAAACAGCGAGCTCAGTCTCACGTTACTTTTATTGAAATTCCACAGAGACGGCAGGAGCTGTGTGACTAACAGGCAGGCGTGCACCAGGAGCTGCACTCCAGCCGGTTTAGGCTCAGTTCTCACAGTTATGCAAACAAACTGTCCAGGAGTGGAAAACACAATGACAAAAAGCAAAGAGAAATGTGGGAAACCACTGAAAACGGGGTGTTTTTATTAGAATGTGACAGAAGGAGTGATGTGGGGTGATGCGTCAGGCATCAGAGAGGAAGTGGTGAATTCAGTTAGTGAACGTGACAACAGCTAATGTGTGTTCTCTAGATCATGGTGCAGCTGTGAGTGCTGACATCCTAAAACACGTAGCCCACCACTGCAGCAAATTGGCTTTTATGAGACTTCCTTCAATGCAGTTTAGAGCAGTACTTAACAAAGCTTCTCCTGTTTACAACCCAAAGCGCTTTCCATACACGTCAAACTGTACGCTGACTTCCTGCTGCAGAGTGGCTGAAAATAAAAACTTTAAAGGCATGAAAAGTGTTCAAAGCTGCTAACTGATGCACACTTAAACGATTAAATGTGTTTCCCAGCCAGAAATACCAGCAGCTATATACAATCTCACTTACGTATCAATTTCAGATGTGAGTTTCAGTAAAGCGTGGGCACTCTGCAGTCCAATCATCACGGCCCCTGACAGCACTTACTGGGCATCAAGAACACCTCTGCTTTCAAAAGTTTGCCCCAGTTCATGTTGATTCTGGGAATAATCAACTTTCAGGAGGTAAGCTTGCAACGGCAGAACACTGAATGATCAATTTATGAATGAATGATCAATTTATTCAGTCAGTTATCTTAAGATAATGTACATTAACATGTCATACAATTAGATACAAATACCATTTCTCACTAACATATGCCTTGTTTTTTATATGGTGTCTATTTGGTATATCATGACTGAACAGGTTTAGGCAGAAGCAATAGCTTATAGAATTGCCTAACCGACTTACAAAACATTTTTTTAATTTCCCGCAATGAACCAACAACCCAAATAGAAGTAAAACACAAATCCATCCATCAACATCAAATTAATACTCTTCAAAAATGTTTTTACTGATAAGTTTTTTAAGAACTGAAAGAGAAGTTGCTAATTTTAATTCTATTTTAGCCTCATTCCAAAATTTTACTCCCATTACAGAGATACATCTCCTTTTCATGCCCTTTTTGGCTTTTTGTAGAACAAACATACATACACCTCTTAAATCATATTTACTTTCCCTCTTTACAAAGAACATTAGTATATTTTTTGGCAGAGCTGTTAATTTTACTCTAAACATAAATTGCATTATTTTATAATAATATAGATCTTCTAATTTCATAATCTGTGATTTTAAAAACAACGGGTCAGTATGAGCATAATAATTGCTCTTGTTCATAACTCGAATAGATTTCTTTTGTATAGTCTTTATTTCATGTATATATGTTTTAAAAGTTGAACCCCATATTTCTATACAATATGCCATGTATGGTTGTATTAGTGAACAGTATATTAGACGTAAGGCCTTATGGTTTAGTATGTCCTTCAGCTTATATAATAGACCCAAAGATTTGGCAATTTTTCCTTTTATACTAAAGCAGCATTCACGCTAATGAAGTCCTTGCAATTTTCCTTAGTAATAACAGGGTTCAGTTGTGATTATTTGGCAACTGATTATTTAATGTCACAGTATACAAACAGCACAGGGGAGAATTTGGGTAAATAAAACTGTTCATTGAAATTGATCTTAAATTCAATTTTTGACTCAAAATTTTCACAGAAATATTTTAACTTGCAATAAAATACATACTGTAACAAACTTCCGCTTTGTAAACCCAGAAGTTTTTTATCTTGCCATTCTGTTAGTCTATTCTATAAATCATCTATAAACTGAGATGGCAGAAAAAGGGAAAACACACCAGCAAAGGGACTTGAGTCAAAATCTCCATTACTTTCAGCGATAACCCTCCCCACTAGCGCTTGAAATGCCTGCTATCGTAGATTCACCCGCAAAAGCAACGCAAAATGTTACTCTGGTTCAAACATGATGTCAGAGTTTAGCACTTAGTTTGAGCAATTAGCACCAAGTTAGCTTTTCATTACGCTGTACACACTGAAAATGGACACATGGCACATAATCAAATAACGAAAAAAGGTATTCTCAGAGTGATCTGCATGTGTTTAGGAAAGAAAAACATGGACATGCTTAGGGTTGCTTTTCCTAATTAATAAGGAGACACTTTATCATACCAACTAGGGCTGAACGATCTATCGTTTCTGGACTGAAATTGTGATTTCAAACGGCACCTTAACGTGACCGTCAAAGCTGCGGTTTTAGCGGTTTTGACTGATCCAGGATCAGTTGTGTAACTCTTTTTTTTACATCCAGGGTTTTCCCCCTGTGTTATGGCGGTGGCAAAAGCCATCGTGGGGGGGGGGGGTACCGTCCAGAGCCGAGCCCAACTCCACAGCTGCCAGAGCTGCATGTTCAGGTTATTTTCCCTGTTTTATGTTCCCACACACAGCGCTGCTAGAGCCGATAGTAATGGCACCGTAGGTGAGTCCAGGACAGAGAGAGAGAGAGAGAGAGAGAGAGAGAGAGAGAGAGAGAGAGAGAGAGAGAGAGAGAGAGAACGTAGTTGAGTAAGGGAGAGAGAGACCCCTCCCACATCGGAGCAGGCTCGGGCTGAGACGGTTTATGCTTCATCAGCGCGAGTGCGTAGTTGCGCACTTGAGTTGACTTGAAAGCTCAACTTGTCTGATCTGCGGAGGAAGATCATTCCAGAGGTTGGGGCAACAGCTGAGAAAACTTGATCTCCCCCCAAAGCCTCAGTCGAGCCCTAGGAACTGAAAGAATCAGCAATTCCTCAGATTTTACGTTACAAAACCGTGAACGACTGTTTCCAAGTTGTTTAAAGACAGGAAAGGCTTTAACTTTGACAACACTCCAGGATGACACAACGCAGAACTAGTAGGGGGTGAGAGCTTTGAGGTTCCCACATGGTGCAGCAGCATGATGACAAGGTCCCAACAAGACTGCTTTTGTTTTGCGTTCATTAATGCACAAGAAATTGTGGGCCATCCATTCTTTAACTAGTTCCATTGGGTCAATGATCAAACTTATCAAAAAGTAGATAAAGTAGACAGTCATCAGCATAGAGATGAAACGGAATTCAGTGTTTATGGAGGATTTCACCCAAAGTCAGAATGTAAAAGGATAGAGGCCTCAGAATAGAGCCCTGTGGGACTCCCCACAGTAACTGTTCTGTTGTAGAAATACAAGAGCCCAGCTTCACACACAGTCCAGAGGGAGAGATAAGACCTAAACCACACCAAAGCTAGACCAGAAATCCCCACAAAGACCTGAAGACCAGAGATCACTTACATGAGCCATCAACTGAGCATACACTTTCTTACCTGAAAATGTAGCTCTTAGATGGGCCTAAAGTGTTCCAGGGGTGACACATCTAGCCCTGTTTTTCTGAGTATTGGATGAAACACAGTTTGTATTTCTCAGACCTGCATTTTCCCATTTTCAGACCTCTTATAAATATTGACAGACTGCATGAGAACCAGTTGGTTTGCAGAACAGAATGAGGCACAGATGTTCCGTTGCCAGGGCTCTGAGAATGAGAAACACTTAAGATCTAAATTTCTTGAAACTGAAGACCAATCACAAACATGGGTCAAGCTATTTAGTGGCTGCAGCTTGCATCACAAAATCACAGCAATAAAGACATAATTGGATTTCATTTGAACATGGTTTTACTTTATTTCTGCCACTCTTTGTCTTTATTCAAGAAGAAACCGCCAAACAGTGGACATGTGTGCCTCCCAGCGTCTCACTCCTCTGACCTTGTCTTGGCTGTCTCTGTGATGCTCCTTATGGCGAATGTGTGAGGTCAGGCTGATCTGACTGCGGTGCCAAAAGTACAGGTGCTGCGACAGAGCGGCGGAGAGAGGCCAAGTTCCTCTGACACCTGTTGTGATCATTTTGCACGGTGCTTTGGCACAGATGTTTCCAGGAGGTTTGTGTACAGTACATCCCATCTACGCTGTCTGTAGATAACACAAGCGTCCACTGTCTCCAAAACGATGCGTTGGTTATGTTACTTAGCAGTTGCTACTCACTCTCTTGTCCCCTCTCCTTGTTCTTCAGCTGCTGAAGTTTCTGCTCCCGCTGCTGCTTCTCCAGCTGTTGCTCATGACGCTGTTGCTCCATCTTCCTGTGATGCTCCAGCAGCTCTTGTTGGTGCTTAAGAGCCAGTAGATCCTGTTGATGCTGGTGGAGAGAACACATGGTTATGGAAGGACACCAAAGGAGACGAGAAATTCAGGACAAAATAGAAGAAGAAAGAAAAATCTAAGCTGAAAGCCCGAAAACGCAGCCAGACTTCATGCTACGGAGTGAACATTGTAGTTATTTTCAGCTCATCTCTGCAGGCTGGCGGTGTGGTCCAAACTAAACATGAGGGAAACGTTTCTGTAATAAAATTTACACATTCAGGGTTTATGGAGCCAAGATTCTTGTGGAGAAGACCAAGAGGCAGAATGTGACCACAAGATCAAATTACACCAGCATAGCCACTATAGAGTACTCATACGTGTGTTTTCTGTTGTTCACAAGATGCTGAGAACACTACCACCTCACCTTAATGTGCTCCTGCAGCTGGACTTCATGCTGTCGCGACAGCTGCTCATGCTGCCTCTGAAACTCCGCAATCAGAAGCTGCCTCTGGAGCTGCTGCTTGTGTTTGAGGGCCACCAGCTCCTGCTGCAGATGTGTCTCCTGGTGGCCTGTGAGGGGCGAAGGAGCATCAGGAGTCAGATCCAAGAGCTCGGGTCGGGTTTGGAGAAAACTGATTGCTAAGACTCACCGATGACCGGTCCACTGCCCGACTCGGAAGATGCAGGACAAGCTGTGGAGGGGGTCGGTGTGGGGTGGGGCTGGGACACCAGGCCAAAGGGCGGCTGCTGGTGGTGGTGGGGGTGAGGATGGTCCACAACGCGCAGGTCCATGGGGAGGAGGGCTGTGGTGGTGGGGGGAACCTGCGAGGGAAGGGCTGCCGTGCTCACATCCACTACAAAGAAAAAAGAACGAAATAAGAAATCAAGTCGTTCTCCTTCTAGAGAGTTGGTTTACTTAACCGCAAACGTCTTTCCACAAATCTCTCTGTTTGGCTGATGAAACCCTTTATTCTCTCCCGTTTAAATCTGAGGAACAAACTCAGAAAAAGCAGCTTTGACAGGAACAATCGCTCTCATGCACAGCAGCGCTTCAGAGTGCTTGTGGCGTGCTTCCACTCTGATTTAAGTCTGTCTTCTAGTCGCACACACACGATAAGAGCATCAACTAATCCCCCAGACACACAATGTTTTTAAAAAATGTGTCAGTCTGTGCGTTGATCAAAAACACAACTTGCTGTATTTGTATTTTGTGTTTAATTGAAAAGAAAAGACTCCATTTAAAGACTCACAGTGGTGGAATAATATATATATAATCACATTTTAATTAAACCATTGCCAGAAGAAATGTTTCACAACAACAAAAATTACAAAACAGACTCAAGTAACACCACTATGCACAAAACTTGGATTGGTGTAGCATTTAAAACAGATAAAACATGAGCAGGCATAAGAAGAGCAGCTTTAAAGGCCAAAAACTGCAGCAATATGTCTACAGCGCAAAATTAAAAAGTCTGACAACAACAACAAGTAAAAGGCGTGCATGCAAGTTGCATGCCCTCTGGGTCACTCAGTCTGCAACAACATGTAATCTGATTTATAAAAATAATCCAGAAAAAGGGGATAGTGAGAGCATGAAAAGGAGGAGGTCATCTGTTAGCATGCAACAACTGGAGGGTGGTGCAAACAGGTAAGTAAAACAGAAGTTTCCACTGCTGAGCAAAGCTTCGATCCTCCATTTAAAGCCAGATCTAAATGTTTCACTATTTCAGCTTTTGTGTGTAAAGCTTTCCTACAGATCTGAGTTTGACAGGTTCAAGTTGTGTCTTTTGGACAAATTTGCTCAAGTAAAGATCTAAATCAGACAATACCATTTCAGAGCCTCGTAGTAAATGTTTGACCATCCTGACCAATTTCTGTTTTGTGAAAAACCATCTTGGGCTGAGCCAAGCCTTCTCCCAGTGATCAACACCCCTGAAACCAGTGCAAAGCATCCCCAGCCTATCACGGACACCCCGGGATCCCTAGTGACCAATGAGCAAGCAAACAGAGGGGCAGCTACGCTGCTGAGACAGCCAATGACTTGTTTGGTACCGGGCAGGTTTTTTAGAGAGGGAGGAAACTCGACACCACCCAACGGGACAGTGGAGAGAGAAGAAAGGGTGTGGCCAGGCCAGACATGCTGGTGCTTCCCTGATGCATATCGGTACTTGTTAGGACCTGTCGGACAGCTGGACATCAGAAGATCTGCTCTTTAAGTCTTTTAGGCCAGAAAGATCAAACAAGAAAACCTACAGTTATTTCTGGAAATGTGCTTACGAAACACAAGGGCGGTTTGAAACTAAAAATACGGTTTTAAGGTGACCTGTGTGGTTTCAACACCTACTACTAAAAATCAGACTTGTATGGCAGTACCTTCCTTATGAGAAGCCAATAAAAGCATTTGAGCAGCTGATGAGGAGACAAAGCTGTTTCCGGTGAACTGTTATATTTTCAGTCCGTCACCTCAACATGCGCACATGCTTTAGCACAAACATGTTCATCAACTGTTTGCTCACGTATCCAATCGACATCCAGGTCAAATAAACATCCCTCCACCCCACTTCGCCCACGACCCGTATCTATTACACCTTTATATAATTGTTCTTATGTTGATGCAAAAGACTTTTTTAATCCTCTCTCAACAGCTTTGGTATTTTGTTTTCAAACATATTCTCCACCTGACCCCGGTCAGCAACCACCAAACTCTTCTCTGCACCATTTACTTAAAAAAAAACACAAAATAATCTAATTTTAGTCTAACGTTACTATTTTATAGGTGCAACATGTAAGAATGAGGTAAGAATGACATCCCGTGGTCAAACTTGGTTACTGCAGTCTATTTTCCTGAACAAAAAATGACTTTCTTACTACCGTTCTGTGAGTTCATGACTGCTACCGGTTACCGATCAGCACCAGAAGATAAGCAAAGACGAGTCACACGCAGTATGCTGATAAGTAGATTACATAATCATATCTGGTGTTAGCGCTCTTGGGTGTTTTATGGTAGGGAGATTTTACTAAACGTATTACAGTAATAAGTCTCCGGCTTCACAGGAAGTGTGGTTGTTTGCCATCTTGCTGTTAGCTTGCTGTCATAGTTCTGAATGACTCATAGAGGAAATAAAACATGGCAACTGACTCATGAGTCACTTCACACACGTTTCACTACAATATCCAGTTGTTGGTGACTGAAAAAGTAGCTTGAGATATTTTAAGAGCCAACTATTTGCTTCTAATTCACCGTTAGCATTGTTAGCTCAATGTTAGCCTCTAGCCTTCTTTACCCGATATTTAACCCCCAGAGACCCACGGTTGTAATATTACAACATCAGATTTAAGTCTACAAAAATAAACCTTCCCCATTTTTTTCTTTTTAAAACCACATTTACATTGCTAATAGGTCCTACTGTTCAGTTCTGCAACACTATTGGCTGTTAAAATGTGTAAATAGGCCCGTTTATCTGGCCTCCTAGAACAACATGTGAAAGGTTAAAAAAAGATTTTGCAGTTGTTTTCTAAATGTGGGTTTCTGGGGGTTAAGTAACACAAAAACATGCCGTGGCTTCTTAGGGGTACAGGAAATCGCTTCTGGGTTGCTCCTGTTTACTGGCTTTGGTTCTTTACACAACTCCAGAGCTTTTTGCCTGCTGGTGTTGAATTACAAATGCTGAATCTGCCGTGTTAGCTCGCTGCAGATTTGGCAACCTCACAAACTCATTTATTGTTAACAGTAACTACAACCCTCTTTCATTTTCTCAAAATAAGAAAACCTGACAGCCGGCTGATCTGCAAATCTGCTTTAATGCAACCCTCCTTCCAACATGATGGAGACTGTTTTGTGATTACTTCACTGTAAAATTCTTACACATTGCTCCTTTAAGTACAGTTTAGTAAATGAGCAACAAAAGACACATTTAAAGAAGTCCATCTTGTAGACGTTTCTTCCTCCCTCTCCGCTGTGCTTCAGCTTTCCCTCTAAAAACCCCTCCCACCAGAAAAAGCTGTCCACTAAACACATGGTAGCCATGGCAACTTTAAAAATGGCACTAATTCTGAACAAACCAACACTGGCGTCAGCAAGAAGTAGAACAAGCCGAAGATTCTGCATTTTGATCACTGGCTTACAGTAATAATAATAAAAAATGTATTTCCCCACCTGGCTGTAGTCTTACTTTCCTAGTAAAAAAATGTCATCACTGCATGCTTTGGCAATAAAGCTGCTCTACCAGAGGACTACTCCATGCATGACAGAGGTGCAAGAGTATGGCAAGCCGAATGAGCATTTATTCTGATATCAGGCAGAATTGTCATGAACATGTAAGCCATTTCTGTCCACTAGTTAACTCGTGAGGGTAAAAATGTGCACAATAGCTAACTAGTAACAGCAGAAATGTGCACTAGTTAACTAGTGAACACATTCAGGCTTCACTACTCAACTAGTTGACACAAAAACGTCTTACTAGTTAACTAGTAAAGGCTAAAATGCATACCAGTCAGCGAGCTGAAGGTATTTGTGTCTCACTAGTTAACCAGTGAGGGTCAAAATGTGCACACTAGTTAACTAGTGGGAGACAGAAATGTGCACTAGTTAACTAGTGAACATATTTTGGCTTCACTATTTAACTAGTTGACACAAAAATGGCTTACTAGTTAACTAGAAAAGGCCAAAATGCATACCAGTCAGCTAGGTGAAGGTTTTTGTGTCTCACTAGTTAACTAGTGACAGCGAAAAGTGCCCACACTTTCACTAGTGAAGGCATAACTCCTAGCTAGTTAACTAGTTGGAGTAGGTCAATGCCACTAGTTAACTAGAGAACCCTAAATGGCTCACTAGATGCTAGTTGATGGCAGCAGGCTCACTAGTTACCTAGTTTATGCATCCTTTGTCCAAACTAGTTAACTAGTGAAGACATAAATGTATACTAGTAAACTAGTTCAAGCCTACATTCACACTAGTTAGCTAGCTGTAAAATCACAGAAAAAGAGAGATGCTCGGGTCGAGCAGGCTGCTTCATGCGCGTTCACGCTCAGGCATCGCCCGTAGCATTTGCTATCCGTAGCTTTAGCAGCAGAGAGAGAGGCAGTGCCACTTTGTCGCTGTTCCTAACGCCTAGTGACAAAGCTAGCTACATTTCTGAGGACCCTTAGCTACTTTCTGTAGAACTTTCTTCTAGATATTTCCTGCAAATTAGCAACAAAATAGACATTTTCACTCCGAACCGTTCTTTGGTTTGACGTTGTTTCAGCTGTCATCAAGGATATAAATGTTACAGATACAATAAATGTTGCTGGTGCTTTAGCTCGCCTAGTAAAGTGGCTGACTCTCATGCAGAAGACCCGGGTTCGATTCTGGATGTCAACATAGTTTATTTAGAGTTTCTTTTTTACATTAATGGTATATTTTTTATAGTAAGATGCCCAAATTTTTATTTGAGACTCGCCGAACGGCATTGAATTCACAGATAAAAAAGATGTGGGTTCAACTTTCATTTTGGAACAATTTTTCAAGCAAGGGAAGGGAATGATCTGAGCATGCAGGAGGACTGACCCATCATAAACCTTTGTCGGCTGTGCTGAAGAGAAAGGTACAGAACCAAATTATTTAATTAATTAGCTGCACGTTCTCCTGTCCTCTGTCCTCCGGGCCACACACACACACACACACACACACACACACACACACACACACACACACACACACACACACACACACACACACGGGACTGTCTCAGCTGTTATTTTTGTTAAGGAGTGTGCACGTACAGCATGCGCGCCTCGTGCACGAGCCTACTATTGAAGCTGCCGTTATGCTTTTGGCCTGAGGGGGCAATCGTGAGCATGAAAATCCAAAACT